GGCGGGGGAGGGGTGGGCGGGGGCCCCCCCCGGGCCCCCCCCGGCCAGCCGCGGGCTCCCTCTCACCCGGGCTCAGCAACTGTTGCAGCCAAGCCGTCCCCGTCCCCGTCCCCGTCCCCGTCCCCCCCCGGTGCCGGTGAAGGGAGCTGGCCCCGTCCGGGCAGCAGCGGGGCGCAGAGATCCCCCCGAGCCGATGGCTGCAAGCGGATCGCCTGTGGCTTGGGGCGAGGGGGGGTTACTGCCTTTCGCAGAGTCGCTGCAGCTGACAGGAGTAAAACGCCGTGAGGCGTCATCACAGGGTTTTCTGAAGCAACGTTTTCAAACCGTGCCTTTTTTCTTCCTGAAGTCTTTGCATGTGCAAGTAAGGCTTTGGGGGAACCCCCCTCTGGGACTGTGACAATCTCTACAGTTAGCAGGAACTTTAATTAATTTGTGAATTAGGGTTTATTAATTGACTTCTCTTTACTCTGTCTGAACAGCTCTTTATAACCCAAAAGCTGGGTTCGCAAAGGAAAGCATCAAGAGTTCCGTGAAATTCTATGCCGAGACTTAACGTCTCCTCCTGCTAAACATGTTGCCTATATTGTGTTATCTAGTGTGTAGAGAATTTCTACCAAAGCGTATGCCATACCGTAACACTCCCCTGTTAATCATTTTCTGCTGGGTTAGCTCATACACGCTCTCAGTACCTCTCTGCCTGGGCCCTAATGAAAACAACACGCCCTCTCTTAACATGAATACTGAAACTTGAATACTGCCCAGTCTGGCAAAAGTGGTTTGAATGATGTTTCCTAAAGCATTAAGTTTTGCCGTAAAATTTCTAATATTGGCTTGTAAGATTGACCTTTCCTCAAAATGTCTAGAAAACTCTGTCTTCTGTTGCCTTTTTAAGGACTTGAGGGTATCTCAATCTATTTCCTTCCTTAGGGTGCAGTAACTGTACTGTCTCCCCCTATTTTTATACACTGCAATTAAAAACAGGCTGAAAACTAGATTACAATAAGTTTTTCCTCAGACTGAGTAGTACACAACTCCAGAAATAGTTCTGTTGATTTTTGTGGGAGTCCTTGTGATGCTCGACAGCATGCACTGTGAGAAAACGTGTCAGAATCTCATCCCAAAAAACTCAGGAAAAAATCCCTCATGCCTTCCCATCTGTGCGAATAAGAGCTGTTTTTTGTTTTTTTTCCCCTTACATCCCAGAAACAGATTGTGTAGGCCTACTTGCAGCTAAACGTTACCATTTATAGTGAATATGGTGAGCTGCTCTGGTATATTTTCTGATGCTGGTTACAGAAATATCAAGAGTTAAAATATTTCCCAATATTTTCTTTTTCCTAGACAAAACATCAGCGTGCTGAGCTCAGTTACCTAGTTGACAGACCCCGGCGAGTGAACAGGTATGAGCTCCTTAGCCTTGTTTTCCTAACGCATGCTTTAGCAAGTCTGAATGGGGTGCAGAGATGTGTTTACTGCAGATGTAAAATAGTAGTAAAGCAATGGGAAACTGAATGTATGTAGAGGTATTAAATAAAACGCTGTCGACTAAATGCGTTTGAATTACGGCTTTTCTGAACTGGTTTCAAAACCAACTGAAAAGAGAACAAAATCTCGTTTTGTATTAGTCTAAAACGTGCTTTAAATACTTATGAATGCTTCTGTAGGGTCTTCCAGAAAACATTGGTCTCTCGGAGTTAAAATTGAGCTATCCAGCTTAAGTAAAGGCTACCAAATTACTTATACCAATTACATGCAAACCAGGCGGCGTACTAATGCTTGCTGTCCGTTTCAGCTAGACTACCAAGGTCTGAAAATGCCACTTTTGTTCATGGTGGCCAGAGCACCTCTGCAGAAGCAGTGCAGCAGGCAGGAGTGGGTGAATGCAGCACCGTGTTTGGCCATGTGATGGCAGAAGAATGTTTTATGAGTTCCTCTTTCATGTTTATTCTAATGTAAAGATGTTTCTGTGTCTAGTTCTGCATTCCAGGAAGCAGACATAGTAAGCTCTAAGGACAGTGGTCATGGAGACAGTGAGCAAGGAGACAGTGATCATGATGCCACTAATCGAGGTCAATCCTCTGGTAAGTCTGATAAGAGAATGGAAATAGTAGATCTTTAAGTAGGGAGACTAGAAAGAACAGTTACTTATAGGAACGTAATACAAGAGCGGCATAAATGACGTGAGCATATTGTATGGGAGTATGTTTAAGTCAGCTTGCTACTGCAGTTACCCGGGCAAGGAGACAATTTTGAACCCCTTTCATTCACGGGGCAGAGTTTATTTTATTCATTTAGTTGTGGGGCGGGGCGTGATATGCTATTCTGTATCATCTGCTGTAGCAAAACTTCCCGCACATTAAAACAAAGTTGTTGGTACATTTTACAGTGTATTTTTTTTCCACGGCAGATTTGCAGAATTTCAAAGCGTTAGGCAATTTTGTTTAGTAGGCACTTCAGCTGGCATGGCAGTGTGAAGTGCAGGGGGAGTTCCCAAGGGAAAGAATGAACCCAGTGACTGAATGACAGCCAGACTGTGAGGATTTTTGCTGGGGATCAGTGGAGACACATTGGGTGCTCTGAATGTGTAATACCTTAGCATTTTCTGAGGATTGTTTTTAATTCAAACTGAGGCACCGTATAGCATAAGTGATCTCCATGTTAATAAGCCTGAGGTATTCTTCAGTACATTTCCTTCCGTCCTGACAAAGGAAAGAAATGCTTTAAAAGACTATGATTTGAATCACCTAGAAAATATATACGTTGCAGTGTTATTCACATGTGTACAGCTTGCTGTCTTTGCTCTCATACTGCCAGTTTTCCTCTGAAAGGGACATTTGTTTAGAGCCTATGCATTAGAATTCATTCTCACCCTCCCACTGCATTTTAGCACAAATGCTTGTGCTTTCTTCCCTACCACAGTCTCCAAAGGTCTGGTATGTCTTGATTCAATACAGTGATTTCTTTCCCCTTGTTTCCTCTGTGCTCTATCATGTATAAGGATTTGCTACAAGTGTGTCATACAAAATACTGCCAGAGTTTCTCCAGTTGTCCATTTTTTTCCCCTGACCCCCTGTCTTAGAAGATACCAGGGCAAGGGACTCGGTGCTGTCATAGCAGTGCTGCCTCACCCGCGTGCTCTGTTAAGGTCCTCTATTTTCTTGCTGCTGTAGTCACTGTGCCCTTAACGATGGGAAACCCAGGCACCAGGGGAAGAGGAGGCTGCTACAGGGCCCCTTTATATTGCTGCAAGTCATTAATATGCAGACCTAATGAGACTCGAGAAGAGCCAAGAGTCTCCGGAGCTCCCTGCTTCTTGCAGGGCTTCATGCTAAGTGAACAGAGTGCCTATTTTGTGTCTGGGAACCTGACAACAAACCAGGTCTTGCCAGAAGTTTACATCTGAACACAGAGCCTCTTTCATTTTTGGCCTATATATGGCGTATGATTTATTGTTGTTTTAAAAAGCCATGTATTTAGCCTCCCCCCACCCTTTCTTTTGCACTGTTTCTGATGCAGCAATCAGTGCTACTGAGTTATAAAAAGCTCCCTCTCCTCCTGCCCTCCCTGCATTCCTTTTTTTTTCTTTTTTTCTTTTACGCATTTTACTGCAGCAGTCATCTCAATGAACATTTCAATCAGCTTAGTCCCTCAACATAATGAACCATAATAACCAAACAGGAGAGAAAAGAATAAACATCTGCAGAAGGGGCTGGATTTGACTGATGGTGGGAATATAATCATATAGTTGCACATCAACCGAAAGCTATTTTCTTTTTGATGCATTCAGTGCCGTTATTGTTGTGCCTCTGCTCTTTATTCTTTCTCTCCATTTTAAAAGTAGTCTATCTCAGATATGAACACTGGAACTACTGTCAAACTTGGCATTCGTCCTTAGCAGGGTAAATTCTTCATTTTCTTCTGTTCTATTTTATAAAACTAGGGAGAAAATCTAGTCTATACTTTGAAAACAATTTCAAATCATTTAAGAATCTGATGTCATTTGTGAACTTCTGTGTCTTCAATGGTGACTCCACATGAAATAATGAAAGCTGACAATTAGGTTTGGTCTACTCACAATTAACAGTTTGAACTGAAACCTCAATTACACAGAACTTTCAATTTAATATATTGGTGCTGTGATTTGAGAATAATTTGCACACACAATTTTTAAAATGCTAGTTCCAAATTGGTATTTAAATGCAAATCTCTGTAGAAACTGCTTTAATCTTCTACATACATATAATATAGTTTTCCTGTAAGTTTTGGGCTGGATCCTGCTGTTGTGATGCAAAGAACGTGCCCCTTGACCTCAGTGATGACAAGATATTTTGATATAAAAACTTCACTCTTGCTATTAGCTTTTGGTGATGAATTTTATGGGGGAAAAAAAAGGAGCATAAATCTTGTTTGATCTTGAATGGCCAGAGGAAACATCTGAGGGAATGCCTTCTCAGTTTTTCAGTTGTTCTGGTGCTCTATAATCAATTCTTTCTAAATTATTGAAGGCAAATACACTGGTTGATAACATGGCAGAAGTTTGGGCTGGTTTTTTCAAGATGTTACCTGATACCATGCAGCATCACATTTGTTTTCAAAAGCATTGTATTTGCATCCAAAAATATTTAGTAGATAATTCACACTGACAAATAAAACTCACTCCCTGCCAGTTTTAGTCAGCAGCATGTTCTGCTCACAAAACATCTCTTTACTGTTCTGTACATGGCTTCTGTTACTGTCACCAGTGAGCAGTCCTGTGGCACACAAGTAGCTATTCTATAGTAGTCCACTGCTAGCCAAGCTGACTGTCAAAAGTCATGGTCAATTATTAATTGGGAAGGAAAACATGCAGGATGAAAATCTTATCACTGTGTCGTAAATTTATCCTGCGCAATTATTTAGGGAAAATTCTGAACTAAGTTGTTCTATGTATCATAAAATGTTTTGTTATGTTTTGAAATAAGATTCTAGTTCACCTTTTCACAAAATATATTTTCTTAATAGTGACTTAATCATGGTTTCAAATGTGCTGGAATGTATGCAGGGGATTCATATTGTTCCCATTAAAGTACCACCTGAACGCCTTGTAATTATCCACGTTCTTGTCTACCTTAACATCCACGAAGTACAAAAGTACTGTCATCCGCATTTAGCGGGGAATGGCAAGTAGTGGGATACTTGAGAGCCTAATTTTCATGGACTGAACAGTCATTTCATTGACTGGGATAGGAATCTGAGCTTTTTGGAAAATGACTTTCCAAAGGTGAAGAAGCGCAAGAAGTTGTTGGCAAACAGAGGAGGGGTTTCTCAAACCCCAAGTGCGTGTTCTAATTACTTGTGCTCTTCTTTGTCTGAAAATTGTTGAGACAAAAGCTGCCATTTGTTGTAGAATAAATGCAACTAATACAGCACTACTACCTATTATTAACACACTGTATTTCAATCATGTTCCATAGGAGTAATTTCTAAGCATGAGGTTAGTTTATTTCCCATGGTTGATTAAATTCTTGGCCTCCCTTGTGAAATTGCCGACTTGGGTGCCAATTAATACTCTGCGTGTGTGTATGTTTAAATTGTATGATTAGACACCTGTCCTGTAAGATCTGGACTCATGCCATCAACTTCTTTCATATGGCTGCTCACTAGCTACTCAGCTTTCTCAAGCCGAACACGCAGAGTTCTTCACAATATTACCTTTGTTTCACGTTTTTCACTGAATTGGCATGATGCACTTCAGGAAGGAATATCCAAGATGTGAAGCTAAGAAAATGTACTGTAATGACGGGTTCCCTTTCCCTGGGGATGGCAGGGGGGTTGGAACTGGATGACCTGTAAGGCCCCTTCCAACCCAAACCATTCTATGATTCTATGTATATACTATAAAATGCACCAGCTTTTTTGCTAATCTTCTCTGTGCAGTACTGGACAGTCTGCATTGGTGACCGGGTGAGATCTAAAATCAGGCTTCCACTAGTGGACTTTATGAAGGGAATTGAGAGGGGTCTAATACAAAGGCACAGGGTGAAACATTGCCTCACACCTTTTCAGTACAGATTAGGTAAACTCCAAGAGGGTTAGTATGCATTATTGCAGAAGAGCTATGATATTTCAGTGTTCGTAAGGAGAAGAATTTGAGAAGCCAGAAGAGGAATTTTAGCGATAAGGGGACAGAGAAAACCAGCATTCCTTCTGAGCCTATGCAGGGTGATAGCTAAATCCTGTTTTGAAGATCACTTGGGCTAAAAGTCTGCCTTGGATAAAGTGAGAGCAAACATGAAAATGGCTTAGAAAAGTGCTTTGACTCAAGCTGAGGGCGGTTTCTTTTTCTTTTTTTTCTCTTCTTTCCTTGGGCTGCATGCTTCATACATGAATAATGTTCACATCTCAATGGTCCAGATAGGGCTTTGAAGCTGAGATTTGGAAAAGCTGAATATTGAAGATGTTTGAGTCTTTATTCATGTTCTCATGCAGATGAAGTCAGTTTTATCCAAGGCAGCACACCAATTACTTAGCAAGAAAGAATGATAACTTTATGAAACAAAGTCCAGTTCTCCAGTAGATCAAGTCTTCTACAAAGGAGGTTAACATCATTATCCTTATTTACTGACACAAAACATAAATCATAGGGAAATGAGTAACTTGTTCAAGGATTATCTAACCAAGTGGATAGTTGTTCTGGTAATGGAGCTCTGAAAAGGAGGCCTGGTTCCCTGTGTCACACCTGTCTTGCATCTAACTAGCTTTTTTTAAGAAAAACTACCACAGAAGAAATGGAAAATGCCATTTAATTCCAAGTAAAAGCCAAAGTAATGGAAAAAATGACACATGTTGGGGAAAAAAAACCCCTCTCAATAACAATACTATGAAAATACTTTGTCAACATTTAATTTTTTATTTTTGCTTTTTATGACATCATTTATTCAGTAATACATATGAATGTTTTCACTCATTGCTCTAAAGGCTTGGTGTATGGCTCTTCTCCCTTAATTAAATTAAGAAAGAATACATTATTTAAAAATGGTTTTAGGCCTAATTTTTGCTTTGATCTAAACTGTCTTTCAAACCAATTAGAATTCATGCACATAGAAATTTTGATTTTCTCCTTTTGAAATACAAAAAGGAAGCAAATTGGGAATAGGCTTCAGAAATGCAACACTACCAAGTATCTGATTCAAAGCACCTGAGTTCAGGAAAGTCAGATGCAGATATCAAACTCAATATTTAACTCCTTTCCTAGTTTTTGGTTTCCTTTGAGGGAGGGGCAGGGTCTTGTTTTCCTTCGAAATCTGCAAAGTTAATGTTTTGTGAGGGCTTGTATTGCCCACTGGCCTATCCAGTAATAAGGCTTGAACAAATAGGAATGAACTAGTGGCCTTTGCCCTGAGCTTTTACGTGTATGCTGTATTTGGAATAGTGCAATGCTTATCATTTTTCAGCACTTCAGTGCACTATACTATCTATTTGTATCCACAAAGGACATTTGAAATTCATAACTCAGAGTCACCTTTAAAATCTCAGTTTATCTGTATGCAAGGTCTAATATGATAACTAAGTGAAAAATATAAAGCATTTTTCTTTAATGTGGATTTGCAATTATGATGGATAGTTTAGTTCTGAAGGATCATATATATAACCAGATTTATGAGGGAGATGAGATGGAAGTGTTACACTGCTGAACGTTTCTTTTTGTTATAAATCAAGAACATGATTCTTGGTGTATGAAGGAGTTCTGTGCTGAATGTCTTACTTCATTTACCATGATATATCCTTCCTTCTTGGAAAATAGAAAATAGCCTTCCCCTCCACCCTGTTTTAAATGTTTTTCAATTAGAAACAAAGAATTCTATACCATGACCCACAGGAAAAAGGTGGAGGAAGAATAGCCAGCATTTATATCATAGTCAGTGTAAATATACATAGGTGCTCAGGGATTTAAAAATCAGACTGCTAATTTGAATTTATTTTTTGTGAAAATGCTAAAACCAAGGGCTTGGTTCAGCACTCATTAAACTCTTAGGGAATGCTGTGACTGGTTCAAGTAGGAACAATACCCAACCCAGGCCTCTCTGAACATTTTGTTCCCATCCTAAACAAGCATTTACATTCTAGCTGTGTTTTCCAGCAGTGTATATTAAAATTCAGATGTATATGTATATAAAGTTTTTTTTTTCCTTTTACAAGTTCTCATCTTCAAGGGGGAAAAGTTTGTCATACAAGTTTACATTTTATATCCCCTACATTCATGACTTTGTTTATTCAAAATCCTGATTTGTAGTGGTTATAACATTTCTTTTATAATAAGCTGTTATATAATACTATTCAGTGCACTGCAGTAGACAAGCAGTATTCAAAAGGGAACTAAAAAATAATATTTGGATAGAGACATTTTGCAGTTTAGCAGCTGATGTGAAAACAAAATAGTAAAATGGAGGGTAATTTTCTAGGGGAAATAAAAATCCATGAAGGGAAAAAAAGGGTCCATCTTTGAATATATATCTTAAAAGCAATATTATTATCATGTCTCCCTCCCCACTGACTAAAGAATGTAATTTAATATTTATCCGTAAGTTTTTCTTTCTCCTGCTGTCGTTCAGGAAATGCTGAATGAATATGGTCTTGATACACTAAGTGAAATGTAACTGTAATAATTTTCCTATTAAAAGTAGGGTTATTTGTTGTTTACATGTAACTTTGCTAGGAAGTCTGAAGATTGAAATAACCATTTTGTGATAATTGTCACTTAAATCTTCTGAATGGCAAAAAGTTAGATTCATAAAATATGTCTTTTCTTGCATAAGATAAATTTTTGTGCAGACGTTTCAATATATGAGATACATACACACACGGTTTCATAGACATTGTTACACGTTAGTTTCTTTCCGGGAAGCCTGCATCTGAGTCTTTCATTTCAGTCTGTGGTAGCTACTACCACTACAGAATTTAGAACTATACAATTTGTACACCTTGCCTGATGATCTTCATTTGATTCCTTAATCATATCTGCAGTGCACGTTTGCATTCTTTAACAGTTCACTGATCAGTAATTTATTTTCAGACTTCTGCATGCCAATTATCAATGCAAGGTTCTAATCGAAACTGGACCTTGCATTGCATATTACTTAATTTAAAATTAAAAAGTCATTATAAAGTGAGATTAATCTGAGGTAAAAAGCTTTTTTTTCTTGATGTTTTTTCTAAGTGACTGCCTTTAGTACTCAAGCACTTGTTGATAGCTCAGAAAGATTCTTGCTTGCTGAAGAGATTGGTTTTTTGTAGTGTGAGATATTGCATAAATATTACTAATGTAAGTCAAATTATGTTTCAAAACAGTGGTGGAATTCTTAATACTAATCCTCACATTGGAGATCAAGCTAATCCAGTTCTTTACAATGTTGGCTGGTGAATGAGCTACATTACATGAATCTTATTACAGCTGTTCAAAATTTTTTCCTATTCCTTTTGCAAGTAGTGTCATTTTTTGTAATTCTAATGCAATGCTTGTAAATGCAATGTTTATAACAGATTTAGTTCGGTTTTGACATACACCTATTCTAAGACACTCAGTTCTCTTTATAAATACAGGAAAAAGATATTTCTTTACTGTTCTGCTTTTCTGTACAATGTTGAACATCAACTTGGAGATGCTGGTATTTATTTTACTCTATGCCTATGATTTCATACACCATTCCTCTCAAAACAAGTATAATCCAACAACTTAGTGACTCACAGTCAGGAAATATTCTTTTGGAAGGCCGATCTGAAGGCAGTCAATAGAAGCATAGCTTGTCATTTGAAATCTTAATAGCATTAAAGGATTTGTAAGCAAACAGTTCTGTGTTGGCAGGGACAAGTGTTTGCTTATATAGGGGAAGCATTAACAATTTTGTCAATAGTATCCACAGCCATGTCACATCGGACTACGGCTATCTTTGTACCGCTAATTACAGTAATTTATTATAGGATTCTTGGATGACTTGCTGATAGTAAGGACTGCTGCAGTAGCAATGAAAACTTTCTGTGAAAGGATGATGTAACAATTGATTAAATAAGCCATCCTGATCACTTGATTCCTACTTTGTAAGATCCACTTTTAATATCGATAGGCTCTAATAGGTGTATACTAATGTATGCACAGATAGTTCCTTTCCAGGACTCATTAATATTTCATTTTCATAAATGAAATCTGCGATTCCTCAGTCACGACATTTCATTTCTTTGGTCAGAGATACATTTATGTAGGAACAATTCCTTCATGCTCTTAAGCAAGTACTTTCAACTGGTGAACCACAGACATCAAGCTACAAGTGGAATTGAACTTTATTTGAACGGGTTCTAAACAGTGAGCTCTGCAAGTGATTTCGTGAGACAGAACCACCAATACCCTTCTTCTTGTGATATTTTTGTGTGTGTGACATTCTGGCATTTAGTTACACTTATTAAATGGTGTCTTTGACTTCTGAAGACTGGACAATCAGATTTTTTTTTGTTGTTGTTGAGGAGATGAAAGTAGTGGAAGAAGTTCTTACGACATTTCTCTCTCCACTTCTCTCTTTTCTCGGCATAAGCTTTCTTATCTGTCAGCAGCTGTTCGTGATGCTGAAGCTTATATCTGTAGTTTCTTTTTCTCTCATGCTTGCAGGCATGGATCTCTTCTCCAATTGCACGGAGGAATGTAAAGCACTGGGCCACTCAGATCGGTGCTGGATGCCTTCCTTTGTTCCATCTGATGGACGCCAAGCTGCAGATTACCGCAGCAATCTGCATGTACCTGGCATGGACTCCGTTCCAGACACTGAAGTGTTTGAAACACCAGAAGCCCAGCCGGGGGCAGAAAGGTCCTTCTCCACCTTCGGCAAAGAGAAGGCCCTTCACAACACTCTGGAGAGGAAGGAGTTGGATGGACTGCTGTCTAATACACGAGCGCCTTACAAACCACCATATTTGAGTAAGTACTATTCAAAAAGCTGTGTGAAAGTGTTCCCTTTGCGGGAATAAAAATGAGCTCTTTCTGCTATTCATAGTAGGAATAATACAGACACAATTTTAGGAGCAATGGGGAAAAATGGCTTCTCTTGGATTCAGGCACCACTGAAGAAGGCATTGTTCCATGCTTTTAGAAAAAGACAAAACCCTGATTGTTTTTAGTGTGACATGATTGTCAACAACAAAAGTATCAGCTGATGTTAGTGGGGGAGTTGCTCAGTTTTGTTTTCTGACGCTGGATTATTTTCAAAGTTTTCTTGGATAGATGGTTTAAACATTGACATTGCCAGGATAACATTTTTTAAGACTAAAATTAAGTCGAGAGAACTGTCCTAGGAGTTTCTTTTTATCATTGAGCAGTATCTTGTGAATAAACAGTATGTGTATTACTTTGAAGTAACTAATTACATAGTTAACATTAAGGGTTTGGAAGGAAGAAGACAAAACTTTTGGCCTTCGGTCTGATCATCTTTCAGCCTACACAGTATTGACTTTTGTCAGTGCTCCTCCGTGCCTTCTGTCTTGTTCCAAAATCTTGCCTCTTTCTTTCGTCAACTTTTGACTGTGGTTGGGTGGCATGAAAAAGCGTGTTAGATCTCAAAAAGACCTTCATAATTCCTTTTGGAGTCTGAGACAGTTATAGAACCCTACGGGTAATACTTTGATCTAATATGTCTTTTCATTCTATTTAGCAGCCTTCTGTATTTTATTAGAGACTGTAATCTTCTTGACTTCAAGAGTCTATGATGTTTATCTCATCCAAATAAGCCAAAGACATTAACATTGCAATACTGACCCTTTTTAAAGCAACAAAAGTCTTTTAGGACAGCAGATCAAGGGTAAAAAAAAAAGAATGTCACTGAATGGTATTAATTTATTTATTTTTATAAAGCCTTTAGTTGTTCTGAAAGGTGCTGCACTGACAGTCCTGGCGTGTGAAGATCTTTGCTACAGATCATTCTCAGCACAGACAGCTCAGTTCTCCCTTCCTAATTAGCTGTCCAGGTATTTCAGTCCTTCAGAGAGGTCTTTATACCAGTTCACTCTTTAGATTTGCTTTACTGAAAGCTTCTAAATTTGGATATCAATTCTGATATGTGAAAGCCATTCCTAAAAAACCTGTCCTGAGACAATCAGCTTATTTTGTGTAGGCTAAAATGTCCGGCGTCAATCATCTGGTCATACTCTAAAGACCAATGTGAAATTTCAGTTAGCTATGACCTAACGCCTCATGACTCTCTCTT